CCCTTTGTAGATTTCAATGCTCGGCGCAATCCACGAGCTGTTCTGTATGGAGAACACGGAGCCGTCGGCAACACGCAGGTCCGACGCAAGAGAGTAAATCACGTGCGTCCGCGACCTGACAGCACAGTTGTCCATGTAGAAGACGCTGGACAGGTTCATTTCAAAGCCGCGCTCCACGAGGATCGCAGCGCACGAGCCCCCGCCACACGCCAGCATAGACCGCGTCATGACAAAGCGCGTCGACAGAAGCCGGACACCGTCCAGGACTAGCACGGGGCCGTACCGGGATCCCGCGAAGCCAGGGGTCGTCGGCACGTACTGCGACCCGCCAACCGTCGCGCGCAGCGTTGAGTTCGCCAGCAGCACACTCGAGTGCAGCGGCATCGCGCCATGCAGCACGATCGTGCCCTCCAGCGACGTCACGTTCGTCATGTTGACGAGGACGTGGGGCATCAGGTGCGCCGTGCTCTCGCTGAGGCCACCAATCCGCAGCTGCGCGCCGCCCACAAGCACGCAGTGGCGCAGCGTCACGTTCAGCGCGTCAGCGAACACGTCCATCGAGCGCAGGTCCACCGCCACAGTGATCGGTCCGCGGAACACCACCGAGTCGAAGCACGCCGTCGCACGCACGCCGCCAACCGTCACGGACTCCGTCAGCGTCACGCCACTCACGCAGCCCTGCGCACCGCCACCACCACCGCCGGCCCTCGCAGGCGGCACGTCGAACGGCAGGCACGCCTCGCCCACGCCGCCGGCGCGGCAGCCGCACACGCAGTCAGAGAACGACGCCGTCAGCGCATCAAAGCACGCCAGCGCAGCCGCACAGCCGTCGCACGGCACCACGCTCACGGAGGGCAGGCCGGCCATGCGGTAGTCGCCGCCGCTCTGCAGCACCCGGCCGCCGGCACGGTTGCACTGCACCGACACGGCGCCGCTCGTGATCGTCGGCCCGGAGACAAGCGTCGCGCCAGTGGCAGCGCAGCGCGCAATCGACACGGCGCCGCCGCTCAGCGTCACACCCGACAGCGACGCCACCGACGACGCCTCGCCCACCGCCCACACTTCGCGCAGCTCCAGCCACCCGCCGCCACCGATCGTCCCACCACCGCAGCGCACCAGCGACGACGCAGCAGACCCCTCGACGCCCACAAAGCGCAGCACCGAATCAACCACCTCAAGGCGCTCGCCAAGCACAATGCCGCCGCCGCTGCTCACAACCGAGACGTTCGTCACGGAGAACACCGAGTGGCTCCGCAGACTGAGACGCGACGAGAACGCCACATGCATCGCGGACGCCCTCGGACCGCCCGACGCCTCCAGCAACACGCCGTCAAGCACCACCGCGCTCGACAGCAGGTCCATGCCGCCGCCAACGTACACCGCCGACCCGCCCGCCTGCAACGACCTCAGCACAGTGTTGCTCACACGCAGCTGCGTCTGCAACAGCGACGTCGCGTGCAGCACAAGCGGCGACGCCACAGCGTCCGTCAGCCCGCTCAGCTGGGAGTAGCGCATCGGCCCCGCCGTCACAATCGTCGAGTCACGGACCGTCACGTTCGTGTGTGCCGGCAGGTTGTGCACAAACACGAGCGAGCAGTAGCCGCCGGACAACCCGCTCACGCTCACCTCCAGGCTCCGGTCACTCGCCGGCTCACCGCTGTAGCCTCGCACGTAGATCTGCGCACCGCCGTCGCACACGCAGTTCCTCAATTCGATGCGCAGCGCGCCGGGAAGCATCGCCGCCACGTCGAACACCACAGCCACGCCGTTCGTGATGGACACGCCGTCCATCAGCACCGTGTCCACGGCGCGGCCAACCGTGATGGCTCTGTCCACCGTACCGCCCCGCAGTCGCAACACCACCGCATGCACCGCGGGCATCCACGCCGCCGCCGCAACCAGCGCCAACACAACAAGCAGCGCCACACGCACAGCCGCAATGGCCCTGTGCCGCACACGGTGCCGACTGTGCGGACACGCACCCACCGCAGACCGCATCCACCGTCCCAAACGCGTATCAGCAGGGCTGCCGTGGTGTGTCGCGCTCGCCCCGTCGACCGTAACTCCTGTCTAACAAATCCCTTCCTACAGATGGCAAATCCAGTAACACGATTCCGATAAATCGCTATCCCACTACCACTAATTCTAATACTGCAATTAATCCCTAACACTTGAAACGATAGTTGTGGTGGTCAATCCAAAGTATCTCTATCTGCTTGATCGGAGAAAAGGAGGGCAGAGACAACAGCAACTAAAGAAATTGGCACCCAGAAGCATCCGGCCACAGACAGTCCGTACTGCAGCACAGCCACCGACACAAAGAAGCGCAGACACCACCACGCCAGTGACACCATCGCTCTCCCACCGCCCGCGCAGCTCCACACAACCACCATGCAGAGTGGTGCGATCCCGAAGAGGAGGCACATGACCATTGGCACCGCTCCTGTTGCCGAATGGCTACATCACAGAACAGTCCCGATGCAGTGAAAGACACACAAGAGCCGAGACAGATTCACATGGCGGCGTCGCAACCGACAGCCATCGAGCGCTTAAAAGAATAAAGTGCTGACGCGGAATAGGGGTGAAGGATTCGCCAGTTGCCAGCTGTCAAAGCGTCGGTTTTCGCTCACGTGGGTCGGTATTGCACAACACACAGCGGCACCATACGCGCACAACACACACACAAGAAGGTCGAATAAAGAAGTACGGCGGCACTCAGATACGGGGGACAAGAGTCCACGTCAATTGCGCGGCCTGTTTGCTCATAGATGACCGGTTTGTAATCACGCCACTGCCCTGCAGTTCGTCAGTCTGCAGGAGGCTGGGGGATGGAGAGAAGGGAGACGCAGTGCGGCCCTCATCCATATCAGTTAACTGTGACACCGGTGACGTCATCCCGTCAGATCACCTGCAGCAAAGACTGTCGCACTCAGCAGCGGTCGGTGCCTTCCCTCTCCCACTGGGGCGCAACTCCACCGACGCCGTCACCCGTTCACTCCCCACCAACAAAACAAGGGAGCAACAGCGGGAGATGCGACACGTGCGACGAACACGCAGCCGCAGAATCCCATTGCTGCCGCCATGAGCAAAAAGGCTGGCTGCAGAACTCAAAAAGAAGGGTAAGCACCCCATCAAACGCTTTGGCATCACGCGGAAAAACCGCAACCGACACACAAGGCAAAGCGTCGTGAAGCAGCCACCAAAACCAAAGCTCCTCCAACAAATCCATCGTAAAGCAAAAAAAAAAATTCACACAAACTGAAAAAAGGAATGCCGAGGCAGTGTCAATAAATAGTTGTGGTGCGCAGCGGCCGTGGCATCGCACCCTCCCCTCATCAAACGGCACCGCACCACAACGCACCGCGACGACAGCGTGCAACGACGACGATTGAGTAGCACACGAAAAGCGGCATAAACGTTTCATCCCGCGCTCGCTCAAATTTATGCTCTCAGTACGTACTACCAACGACACAGGGAAGGATACAGAAGGGGACTGTCCTGTCCATCCTCCTTCCGCCCACAACAGACCCTCCCCATCCTCCTCCTCGCTACACCCTGGGTGCCGCGAAACGCCGTCAAGCAAAGCCACGTGTATGGAAGGCCCCAATGCGCGGGGCAAGGCAGGAAGCCACCCACACTCACTCCCCCGCACATATCCTCTCCCACAACCTTCCCACACACAAAAGGGCAAAGACATGGAGAGGAAAAGCCCGCCGCACAACGCACGCAGAAGCACCGCCATCCACGTCGCGCCGCAAGATAGAGTCATGCGCACAGCAGACCTACGGCCGCAACAAGAGGAACGAGGAGCATCCAATTCCACCACAGTCCTTTACTTCTCTCTGCCCCGACGGAATAGGCATTACGCCTCACAGCAGGTTGTGGCGAGTGGCGCCCCACACTCACAGTGAGGCACGGCGCACACCATCCGCTCTCCTCCGAGTGCACTCAACAGGCCGGGGCACGGCGTCCAGCCAATCTGTTGACGTCGCAAAGGCGAACACAAACAATCGTCGCGGAACATCGGTGCCTCTAGCAGAAAAGAAAAAAAAGAGGCAATAGGGGCATGTCAACAGCACGGTCAGCAGAGGGACAAGAAAAGGGGCACAAGGACACAAAGTGGCAGTGGACATGGCACAGAGGAAAAAAGTCCGCAGGGATTAAAAAAAAAAAAGAAAAAAGAAACAAAAGGGTAGGAGTTCAGAAAAACTCCCAAAAACATTTAAAAAAAAAAAGATGTTGATTCGGCAGGACTTTCACTTCATGTGCCGGTTCAGCACAAGACGACCGTGTGTTCTGTATAAATATTACCCGCACCAAAACGAAAAAAAAAAAAAAAATGAAAAAAAGAAAGTAAAACGAAAAAAATGGAATTGTACTGTTCCACCAGCCCACACAACATCCCTCACTTTTATTGCGGCATCCGGCCTTTTCTTCCAATCCCCCCTTCGTGCAGTCCGTGGGACGCACAGCCGCAGGGCCGGCACCGCGTGTGGGCAACAAACAACAAAAAAAGAGGGGGAACACGTCACTCACGACAGTGTGCAGCAAACAAAAATTAAAATAAAAAGAAAAAAAAGAATTACTGAGTATTACAAAAAAAAAAAAAAAGAAAAAAAAGGAAAAAAAAAAAGAACCCGCGGGGAATGCGGCACACAATCTCCGTGAGGACTCGCAATGTCACACTCTTCGGCTCACAAGATTGCCACAAGTGCACACAGCCCCAGAAGAAGCAGCAACGCCCGAGACGCGTGCACACGCGCAGTGCTGTCGCCACGTAAATCATGCAGGATCAATTTCGCTTCGGTGATCAGGGCGAGGCGGTCCTCTGGACTCATACTGCCATCGGATGCTGAGTGATTGGTTTCTGGAACGGAAGTGTCATTTTTGGCGGCAGTGT